CCCGGGATGGCATCGTGATTGAACTGTTGGGACTGTTGGTTTCTAGGTTTCTGCTCAGGTCCTGATGTCAGGGTCAGAAGATGGATCCCCCCGCAGCTGCCTCCCACTCAGTAGGGAGTCTGCTAGAAATTCTCTTCCTGCACCCCACCCGCGATTTATGCCTGCATGGGCCATGGGCACTCTCAAATCTTTTTAATGTAAATCCTGTCTGGAAGAAAAATAACCACAGGAGTAGTAGCACTGCTTACTGTCAGGCTAAAGTTTTCAAAGTTTGTGTCAGACCTGTCTTATACTTGATTCCTCCCACACAGAGGGACAAGCCAAGCGTGATTGTGTCTGGTCTGCAGGTCCCCCTTTCAAATGAAAAGTTCCGTTTAGGCAGGGCCCAGATTGCCAGCAAACCACCCCCGGGGGAGGGAGCACCAGACCACAGGCTCAACTGCCTTGAGCTCTCTAAGGGGGTGGTGGGTGTGTGGCTGTGTGATCCTGCAGAGTAACACTGCGTGTCTGCACCTTATGTAAAGTCCTTGTGCTTGTCTTACTGCAAAAGCCTGTTGGGAGGCTCAAGATGGAGAAGGTAGGAAAAAGTTTTGAGACCATGGGGAAAACTTTTTTTTTTCCTTTGTGCTCCTTTCCCAGCTTTTCGTTTTGTTTTAAAGATTCTATTTGACTAGAGAGCGACACAGCGAGAGAGGGAACACAAGCAGGGGGAGTGGGAGAGGGAGAAGCAGGCTTCACGCTGAGCAGGGAGCCCAATGCGGACCGAGCCCAGGACTCTGGGGTCACAACCAGAGCCAAAGGCAGACATTTAAGGACTGACCCACCCAGGTGCCCCGTTTTTTTGTTTTTTGTTTTTGTTTTTTTTTTTTTTCGTGGGACAGGGAGAAGCAAACTCCTCCCCATTGAGCAGAGAGCCCCATGACTGAGTTAACTGAGCCCCCAGGTTCCCCAACTTTTACAACTTTGTTTGCATCCAGTAACTTCTGTGTGTGTGACTGGGCGGGGTCCTCCTAAGTACTCTCCCAGACCACGTGCTACCAAAACTAATGAAGACTGCCTGGCGCTGCCCAGATGCCTAAGAGGACAAGTCCATCAGCCCAAAATCACCAGTAAGAAGCCTAGACCTCAAGCAGAGACGAGATTCCTGTTACTAGTCTCCTGGATGCGCTGTCCCTGGGTGTCTCTCATACACTAAACTTCCTTTCACTCCTGGCTCATACTTCGATGTGCATCCTACATGAAGGTCAAGACCCTCTTACCTAGTCCCCCTTCCCCCCAACCTGGCCTGCCAGCGTCCTGCGGTTGTCACGTAAAGTAAAGGAGGCCTTGTTATATCTGAAGTTAAATCATTTTTTATTTTCAAAAATTTTTTAAAGATTTGATTTTTTATTTGAGAAAGAGAATGAGAGCGTGAGAGGGGAAGGTCAGGGGGAGAAGCAGACTCCCATGGAGCTGGGAGCCTGTTTCAGGACTCGGAGATCATGACCTGAGCAGTTGCTTAACCAACTGAGCCACCCAGGTGCCCCATACAGTGAATCTTTTTTTTTTTTTTTAAGATTTATTTATTGGACAGATCACAAGTAGGCAGAGAGGCAGGCAGAGAGAAGTGGGGGGGAAGCAGGCTCCCTGCTGAGCTGAGAGTCTGGGGGTGGGATCTCTTGAGTCCTGGGATCTCTTGAGTCCTGGGATTGTTAACCTGAGCTGAAGGGAGAGGCTCAACCCACTGAGCCACCCGCGCCCCCCCCCCACCCCGCCCCCGTGAATCATTTTAAGTGTAAGTATATCCCATGCCAAAACAATTCTATGCCACCATGAATGGAAACAATAGCAAATACTAGCCCTTACTAAGGCCAGTGACTGTCCTTGGAGCATTACATATACTAATACTTCTGTGGAGGTATTTCACTGGTGAGGAAACAGGCAGTAACTTGCCCTGTGTCGTCACTACTAGGTTCACCCACTAAAGTTGATAATGATTCCTATGTCACCGGGCTTTTCTGCTCATGTCTGACTTGAAGCTTCTGTTTCTCTCACCAGTGGACTGTACTCTCCTTGTCAAGCCATGCAAAATTTTTGTTTTAGTGGATAGGATCACCTCACTCAGGAGGACTATAGCTTCTTGCAAAATAGTGGAGGAGAATGCCCACCATGCCTTTTCTTGGGAAGAAATTCTTTCTCTCCTTCCCTTGTGTCTGCCAAGGGTTCTTAAACTGGTCTTAATGCCCAGTCCGTGGAGGTGGATAGAGTGAGTGCTCTCAAGGGAGTCTTCCCCAGCCTGTGGTCATCCCCATCTGGACCTTGGCATTTAAGAATGCATTCATAATCGGAGGTGGTTCTTGTTGCCATCACATCAGACCACACAGGATGGTCTTGGCTCCTACAATTAAAGAAACTGGCTGTTTGGTATAGCAAAGTTAACTGATCAGTAACTTCTTGAGTGAAGAAATGCATGAATTGCACTTGCGCTGAAATTTTTTCCCAGGAATCAAAAACAGACGATTCTAGTTTGTTTCCTGAAATAAAACATCGTTATTCCTGTTGGTATGGATGGTGAGCCAAGGCGTAGTTTACAGGAGAGAACTTCTTACTCTTTGCCAAGGACTGACTGAACCTGATTGAAACCCTACTTTATGGATAAGGAGGACTTTGAGCAGAGAATGACGCTTTCACTCCGGTTGTTGCTGTGTTAAGCAGGGAGATCAGAAATTGAGGAATGAGCTTGTATGGGCACATGTGACCTTGGGGACAACCCTGGGTTCCATTCCCATCATAGGACCAGGTCTGGATTATTCTGAAGTTATGCCTGCTCCAGGGCTTTTCCAGGTGTGTTTACTGAGGCTCAGATTTTAACATGATCCTGTATGATTGCACTGAGGGCTCTGAGCTAGGCACGAATCCTTTCCTGGCGGATCCAGGTGAAGACAGCAATATGGAGACAAAACAAATCCGTGATTTACAAGAGGATTTCCCTAAAATAGAGGAATGATTTAAATTTAAGTGACTCTTTTTTCTTTAAGATTTTATTTTGGAGAGGGACAAGCATACTCAGCAGTGAGCTTGGGAGCAGGTGCCCAGGCAACCCTCTTAAATTGCATGCTTCCCCTATTCCCCCCCCCTTTTTTTTTAAATGCAAGCTTTATGCCCAGTGTGGAACTGAGGACCTGTAGATCAAGTGCTGCCTTCCTTAGTAAACCAGCTAGGTGCCCCTCCCCCACCTTCCTTTTAAAAAATCACATCGTTGGGGCTCCTGGGTGGCTCCGATGGTAAAGCATCTATCTGCCTTTGGCTCAGATCATGATCCCAGGGTCCTCCCTGCTAAGGGGGGAGCCTGCTTCTCCCTCTCCCTCTGCTGTTTACCAGCCCTGCTTGTGTTCTCTCGCACTGTCAACTTTTTTTTCTTTAAAGATTTTATTTGACAGAGATCACAAGTAGGCAGAGCGGCAGGCAGAGAGAGAGGAGGTAGCAGGCTCCCCGCCGAGCAGAGAGGACCCTGGGATCATGACCTGAGTAGATGGCAGAAGCTTTACTGAGCCACCAGGGCACCCCTCGCGATGTCAACTTCTTAAAAAGAAAAATTACATCATTAACTTGACCTGGTAAAACTCAACAGAGACTATTGGGAATATACTTGTAGTCCCACAAAGTTAAGTTTATGAACTTGGTGCAGCAGAACACACTGCAGCTAAGAAATGGTGGGGGTGACGTGGAAGGACAGTAGGGAGGGGCCTCTTGCAGGGTTGAAGCTGGCTTGTAGCGACCCGCAGAAGAGGAACCAGCTGTGGATTTTACTGTCCTGAGGCAGTTCAGGAACTGGGCATCTCTGTGATACTTAGTTGTTTGGGAGGTTAGAGGGAGCTATGAAGTGGACCGGGAAGACTTATTTTAAAAACTGTTACTGAAAAAAGGGATTAAGTCTTGCAGCCCTGGTGTGCCCTTGGGGAGAAACATTGTTTTCTGTTGGCTTTGTCACTGTCCTTGTTTGTGTCTGTTAGGTACATCATGGTCTGATAGCCAGTGGGGAGGATTTTCACTCGGAAGGTAGATGAGAGAAAGCACATCAAGAGCTTACTATGAAAAACAGGATTTTAAGAGGCAGTATTTCAGAGGACAGTGGACATTGATGGGGAAATAGGATTATATACGTTCTAATTTTCACAGTTTTACAAGTAGCTCTAAGCTTGGGATGTCCGGACACCTCTTGTTACTGTGTGTTCCGTATCAACTGTAGTGTGAAAGGACCGTGTTTTCTGTGGATTCAAATAATATGTTACTGTTACTTATCTACAGGTAGAGAAAGGAGTAACAACACTAAGAGGTAAATTAACTTGCTCAAAGGCACATAGCCAGGAATTGGAAAAACCGGGAGATTGGGGAGACAAACTGACCCCAGATCGGTGCTTGGCTACCATGCTAGTCTCCTGGGCTTAAGATTGAGAACACCCTGACTGGAGGAAAAAAAGTTAAGTGTTGACTATGTACCAGGCACTAGGCTCAGTGACTGCTGTCTGTGCATGTCCTATAATCATCACAGTAACGCTGTGCCGGGGAGAGGGCCTGCTAGCATCCCATTGGAGATGAGGAAACAGGCTCAGGAATGGGTATGTATTCCCAGGTCGTTCAGCTAACAGTTGGTAGAGTCAGTAAATGAAAGGGACAGTCGGGATTCCAACCCCGGTCCTCCAGTCCCGCCCTCCACTGCATCAGCCTCTGCTCGCCGATATTTTTCTGGGTTGGCACACCTGAAATACTGACTTCATTTGCACATATGAGCATCCCGGTGTGTTGGGGGGACGGGCGGGGGGCGGTGCAGCGAGGGCGGATCCAGTCGGCGGGGCCCGGCCCCCCCGCTCCGCCCCTGGGGGCGGGGCTGTCCCGTCCGCCAATCGGGAGGGCGGAGGGCGGGCCGCGGACGCTGCGGCTCTAGCCCGCAGTTCGAGCGGCGAGAGCGCTCGGAGACGGTACGCGGAGCCGAGGGGAGCGAGCGGGCGCCCCAGTCTCCTTCCCCTCCCCTCGCCTCGCCACCCTCTCCCGCAGCCGGACCGGAACTATGTGATCCCGGAAGTTCCGGGGCCATTGCTGTGTGGGATAAACAGTAATGGCGGAGGCTGCAGCTCCCGGAACAACAGCCACAACATCAGGAGCAGGAGCGGCAGCGGCGGCGGTGGCAGCGGCCTCCCCCACCCCTATCCCCACAGTCACCTCCCCGTCCTCGGGGGCGGGGGGAGGGGGAGGCGGCAGCGACGGCAGCGGCGGCGGCTGGACTAAACAGGTCACCTGCAGGTGAGACGCTGCGCGGCCCGGCGCCGGCGCGGGGAGGGGCCCAGGCTGCGGAGAGGGCGCAGAGGAAGGGGCGGGCGGGCGGAGCGGGGAGGAGGAGGAGGGCGGCGTTTGGCCGCCCCCCCCCCCCCCCCCCCCCCCCCCGGCCGCCGCGCCTGCCGCGCCTGCCGCGCCCGCTCTGTCCGCCCTGCGTCAACCCCCGCCGGCCGCCGCGGGCTCGAGCGCGCGCCTCTCCGCCGCCGCACGGCCCGCCGGCCTCCCCGCACCCGCGGAGCGGAGTGCAGCGCAGAGGGAAAGGTGGGCCGACTCCTCCCTCCTTTTCATTGTTGCCCGATCCCGCAGTCCCTGCTGCAGCTCCGCGGGTGCGGGGAGGGGGCTGCGTGTAGTAGCGTGCAGCCAGTCTCCCGCAGCCCTGCGGGGCCGGGGACCGGGGCCGCCAGCGCGGGCGAGGTGGCCTTGGGCCTTGGCGCGGTGTCATCCGTTAGTAACGACTGCGCGCGTCTCTCCGCCCCCGCCCCCCACCCGTAGCTTTTGTTATTTTTTCTTTGTATGTTTATCGAGGTTGGCGGTTCTGAGCTTTTTGTCCTAGAACCGAGTGTCTAGTTAGGGGTCGTCTTCTCCGCCCTAAATTTTAGGAGCTGCCGTTCCCCCGTGGAGAAAACACTCTCTCTGAAACACATGCACCTTTCCTTTTTCTGAAGAGGGAATCAAAGAGCTGCTTTACCCGGGGAGAGCGGTTTTGTTTGGGTTTGGTATGTCAGATGCAAGTATTTGAAAAATTCAGTGGATGGCGGTTATAGGTACGCGTGTACGCGTGTAAAAATGATCAAGCCGTACATAACAGGATGAGTGCATTGAATTGGATGTTATACTTGGATTCTTTTCGAAGTGATCATAAGCGACTGGAAGCTTTTCTTTTTCTACCAGTTGAAGAAAATGCAACTGGAACCCCCGGTTTTCATTCATGGAGGGGGGGTGAATTTTCCATGCAACACATAAGAATTCGTAGTATACAGAATTCCTGTCATTAACAGTGTTTATACAGTATTTTGTTCAGGAAATACTTGTAAGGCATGAATAATCTTAATTAAGGTTACTTTTAGTAGCGGGATGAAGGATAAAAGCTTATTTTAGGTATCTAAAATCTACATCTACATTTTAGGTATCTACAAATCTCATCAGTGATTTGTAGATCCTAAGAATGAAATGAATTGTGCAGTATCTTAAGGATTTTCAAAATTGCTGTCCATGAAACCAGTTAGACGAGTCCCTAAATATCTGCCTTTGTGTGCTGAAAATAAGGTTCCTTGAACATCTGAGTGCTTTCAAGAACGCCATACAAAGCCTTGATTTTTAACCTATCCTTTCCACTCTCGATATAGTCTAGCCTTGAACACCCATCATAACCTGGCATTAACCATACTTACCCATTTATATCTTGCAGCTGTAACTTGAACCTAACTTCACAGCAGTGCACAGAATTCATTGTCACTTTACTTTCTTTTCCCATGTTACTGTTTCTAGTTTTTTTTAGCAGTATATAATCAGAATTCAAAATAGCTTACCAGACTAAGCATTCTTCTTTGGTTGCCTTTAGCATCTTCGAGTAAATGCAGGATTGTAGATTTTTACTGGAATGGTGGGAATTTTTCGCCCATGAACCAGTAGGTTTATGTATTTAAAGAAATTTTCATAGCGCAGTAATCTAATACAGGCTTAGATGTACTAGCTTTTTTTTTTTAAATCTGTCTAGCTTTTGTGAAAAAGTTAATTTTTTAAAAGTACTTTGTATGTCTTAGATTTTAATATTAGATGATGTTTTCAGTTTTAGGTACCAACATATGTGGTTTTTTTTGTTTTTGTTTTTGTTTGTTTTTTTTTTTTAAAGACTATTTGACAGACGAGAGGGAACACAAGCAGGGGGAGTGGGAGAGGGAGAAGCAGGCCTCCTGCTGAGAAGGGAGCCTGATGGCAGGGCTGGATCCCAGGATTCTGGGATCATGACCTGAGTCAAAGGAAGATGCTTGACAACTGAGCCACCCAGGCACCCCCCAACATGATCTATTTAAAAATTTCCTTTGAGGCGTGGAATACCAAATACGGTATCTTTTATTGTAGAACTTGAGCTTTCTGAGAGCAGGGGCCCTGTTTTGTTTTTTATCTGTACTTAGTAAATGCTTAAGTTGGTGGTAAGCCCACACCTGAAATTACCCACTCTAATATGCGCTTTGTCCTTGCAAAGGACTTAGTGTATCTGTCTTGGGGACTACCTCATTCAGTTATTAAGTAAGCATTAGCGCCTTCAACGAGGGATGATGGTCTTGGATGTTGGAGGGAATGCAAAAACCCATTATCAGTATTTTCATTGTGTTTGATAGCAAAATATCCCTCAGGAGAATTCAAGGTAGGGATGTATTTTGTGTTTCTGCTTTCTGTTTAGTGGTTTAAGGCTATTTTCTTAGACTTAGGGCATAATGCTCTCAGAAGTTGTTTGGATGACAGATTTTTTTAATTGCTCAATCCATACTTTCTCATTGGTTTTTATTTTCTTTATATTTCTCAGAATTGTCTCTCTGTGTCTTGTCAGCTGCTTAAAAACAGAGTAACTACGTATACCTTTTCTAAGGAGCTGTATTATGCTGCCCCCACCAGGCTATTTTTCATGTTTTTTAATTGGAGGGATATTCCAAACTACGCTATTGCTTTTAGCTTCTTTGAGAGTGTGGGGTTAAAATAACACTTGGCAGGATGCCTGGGTGGCTCAGTTGGTTGAGTGGCTGCCTTCAGCTCAGGTCATGATCCCAGCGTCCTGGGATCGAGTCCCACATCGGGCTCCTTGCTCAGCAGGGAGCCTGCTTCTCCCTCTGCCTCTGCCTACCACTCTGCCTGCCTGTGCTCTCTCTCTCCTCTCCCTAACAAATTAAAAAAAAAACAAAAAAACACTTGGCAAGCTGTAACTTTGGATTAAAGGCACTGCTTTATGAGAGTTCTACAGTGGTGGATGAACAGGTGAAATAATGAAATGACACCCAAGAACAAGCGTTTTTCATTTCAATATTTTTGTTCTTAAAGATTTTTTTTATTTGACAGAGACACAGAGAGGGAACAGAAGCACTGGGATTGGGGGAGGGAGAAGCAGGCTTCCTCCTGAGCAGGGAGCTGGTTGGCTGGCTGGCTGCTGGGAGCATGACCAGACTTAGGGACTGAGCCACCCAGGCGCCCCTCAGTTTTTTCAGGTGTATTCAGTATAGTTGAAAAAATAAAGGAAATTACTCCCAATCGCTGTGACATACCCATAGTGAAGTTTATTACTTGGAAACTACACAGGTGATTTTTTTTTTTTTTTGAAGGGGTGGCACTGAAAAAGGCCATTATAAAACTGAATTTGCTGCTGGTATTAGATTTGCCCTGACACCTAGGTGTCTTCTACAGTAAAACAAATACGTGAGTATTAATTTGTATAGGTATTAATAGGAGATAAAAAGGGTGGGGGGTAAACCTTGGTCCTCAGCCACCAGGAATTAGCAGTCTAGTATAAAGAGTGGTAGGTGAACTCATGAGAAAATTCCGAAGCAAAGTAAAAAATGCCATAGCCAGTGAAGTGGTAAATGCCAAATTAGTTAGCATTCTGTAATTTCCAGTAAATGCCCAGGCAGGTTGTCATGATGCCTAGAGGTACTTGAGGGGTATTTTTTGCTTCGTTGTACCCTTAAAAGCTACTATTGGGGTGCTTTGTAATACAGTTTGGCAAACATGCTTAGTTTTCCAGGAGGTACAGCAGTAGGAGATTCCAGTTGATTATATTGGTCTTCATTACTGGACAATGTCTGGAGTCAAAAGATTTTTTTTTTTTACTCATTTGGGAGAGGGCATCAAGTGAGAGCAGGAGCAGGAGGGAGGGTCAGAGGGAGAAGCAGGATGCCCCCCGCTGAGATGGTGCCCTGAGCCAAGGCAGATGCTTAACCCACTGAACACCCAGGCTGCCCGGAAATCAGATTCAAGGTGGAAGGAATCTCAGAAATCACAGGGCCCCAGAGAAGGGCACCAGGGTTACCAACTCTGGATTTCGCTCAGGTCATGATAACCGGTGGAGGGATGGAGTCCCATACCTAACTCTAGTACCTAGCTCCAAGCTCAGTGGGGAGTTGCCTTGAGGTGATCTCTCCCTCCTGCCCCTGTCCCTCTCTATAAAATAAATTTTTTATTAAAAAGTCACATGGGGGGCGCCTGGGTGGCTCAGTGGGTTAAAGCCTCTGCCTTCGGCTCGGGTCATGATCCCAGGGTCCTGGGATCGAGCCCCACGTAGGGCTCTCTGCTCAGCGGGGAGCCTGCTTCCTCCTCTCTCTCTGCCTGCCTCTCTGCCTACTTGTGGTCTCTGTCTGTCAAATAAATAAATAAAATCTTTAAAAAAAAACAAAAAAAAAAAAAAAAAACTTAAAAAAAATAAAAAGTCACATGGGGGTGCCTGGGTGACTCTGTGTTAAAGCCTCTGCCTTTGGCTTAGGTCATGTTCCCAGGGTCCTGGGATCAAGCCCCACATGGGGCTCTCTGCCCCACTGGGAGCCTGCTTCCCTTCCTCTCTCTCTCTCTCTCTCTCTGCTTGTAATCTCTATCAATCAATAAATAAAATCTTAAAAAAAAGTCGCATCGCCCTTTCACCAAAGGATGCGTCAGTCTAGGCAATGGCATCAAGATTTGGATGGTGGTTTGCTGGTGGCATTAAAAAACAAAAGCACTTAATTTTGATTTGTTTCCTTTGGCTGTGAAATTCTTGGGAGAGGCTTGCCTTTTTTAATAATCCACTTTCTGTTAAAACTTAGTGTTGTAGGGTACCTGGGTGGCTCGGTTGTTAGGTGCCTTGGCTTTGGCTTGGGTCATGATCTCTCAAGGGTCATGCTCCCTGCTTGGTGGGGAGCCTGCTTCTCCCTCTCCTCCCCCCTGCTTGTGTTACCTCTTTCTGTCAAATAAGTAAAATCTTAAGGGGAAAAAAAACTTAAATATTG